AGGCGGCGCGGCCACGGCAAGGCGGGGAGGCGTATTTGGCGTGGCAGGATTTGACCGTTGTGCTGCCGAATTTTGGGCAGGGCTCAGTAAAGAAATTGCTCAATGGGCTCAACGGGTATGCTCAACCGGGCCGGACCATGGCTATCATGGGCCCTTCGGGCTCTGGCAAATCAACTCTTCTAGATTCCTTAGCAGGTCATTTCTATCCCACAGTGCAACAAATTTCATCAAAGAGTAGTCACACTTGATTGCTACCTCTGTTTGAGCTTTTGCTTTACCTATTCTGGTCATCTTTCATCATATTGGTTGGAATTCAATAATTTCAGTTATTACACATGAGGAAAATGATAATATTGAGGACATATTCTTTAATATCTTCTAACAGCATAGGGACCATAGTTGTTGGCTTCATTTTGGTTTATTGTAGTTGGCCTTAGACTCTTTACATTTAAAAATACTTAGGGAAATGCTACGGTCCGTTACGGAATCATTCCGTCGGGGTTTGTAACCTTTAGATCGTCATGTAACCGTCGGGGATACTTGATCATCATGTATCTTCCAAATACTTATTGGCTACAACTGATCTAGAGATTTATTGTGAGCTGTCATTTTCTGTGCATGAAACATACATAGGCATATATACAAAGAGGTTTAAATGACCATGTGAGCAAAATATAAATAGCAAACGTAAACATACGTAATAAAGGGTTCGCTTTGCCGATTCTGGTAAAAAAAAAATGGTGGTCCTGTTAGCCTCTGAAAGACGTTTTCACTTTAACCCACTAAGGTGAAAACTGATGAAAATCTGCTGTGCACTTGAATTACATACATTGACTTACTGTGTGTATCTCTGAACAGTTTTTCTTAATAATTTTTATATGAATAATGAAAGATTTGAATGATAATTGTAGTAACATTAGTAATATTTTTTGCTGACGCGGGCAGGTAGATTATCGACAAATGTTGTGATGGATGGGAATATTCTTCTTAATGGGAAGAAAAGAAGGCTGGACTATGGTGTTGTTGTAAGTAGCTCGATTTTGTCATAATTTCTCACATAAACTTATTTTCTGTAACAAATTTCATTAATTTCAGGCCTATGTAACTCAAGAGGATGTGTTATTGGGGACCCTCACAGTCAGGGAGACTCTAACATACTCGGCCCACCTAAGGCTCCCAGCCTCCATGACTAAAAACGAGATACGAGCCATTATAGACGGCACTATCTCGGAGGTCGGCCTGCAGGAGTGTGCGGACCGTCGGGTTGGCAACTGGCAGGTGAGGGGCATAAGCGGCGGTGAAAAGAAAAGGCTGAGTATTGCGCTCGAGATTTTAGTCCGACCCCACATACTGTTCTTGGACGAGCCCACCACGGGCCTTGATAGTGCAGCCTCCTTCTTTGTGGTCCAGGCCATCAAGAATCTGGCCCAGGATGGGAGGACCGTCATCTCGTCCATTCACCAGCCAAGTAGTGAGGTTTTTGCTCTGTTTGATGATCTTTACTTGCTCTCGGGAGGCGAGACCGTCTATTTTGGGGAAGCCAGGATGGCCGTCAAGGTATGACTCGGGATGTTTATGGTGTCATTTTTAAATGTTTTAGTTTAATTTTGATAAGCTTAGTCAGATTATGAAAGTCACATTTTAGTTTTTGCAGCTGCTTTTGGAAGCATGTGTGGAACTTATTTGCATTTACTGCGATTTTTGTTTCGATACTCGATTGATTTGCTTTTTTTTTTCTCGCTAGTTTTTTGCTGAAGCGGGATTTCCATGTCCAAGTAGGAGAAATCCTTCAGATCATTTCCTGCGCTGTATAAACTCGGACTTTGATCTTGTCACATCCACATTGAAAGGTTCACAAAGACTTTGTGTAAGTTTCAATCTGTAATTCATACTTTTCTGCTTCAGATCATCAAGGAACTCATATTTAAAGTTGGCTTTAATATAGTGTGGCTCTTTTGTTCACTGCCCTTATCTAATAATAGCAGGAAGGACAAAAAACGTCGGATCCTTTGATGAATTTGACAACGTCCAACATAAGATCGGCGCTTATCGAAAAATACAAACAATCAGAGTATGCAAAAATTATGAGAATGAAACATGAAGAATTCTCAAAAACCGTACGTGAATTCGTGGATTTCTTTTTGTTTACAAAATCTTGTCCTATTTTTTTTAACAAGCTTGTGAAATTGCAGCAAGAAGTTGAGCTCGAAATACTTAAAGGAAGTGAAGCAACTTGGTGGAAGCAGCTCTCAACATTGACACGAAGGTCGCTCGTGAATATGTGTAGGGACACGGGCTATTATTGGACCCGCTTAGTCACTTACATAATTGTTTCTCTATGTGTCGGGACTTTATTCTATGATGTGGGAACAAGTTATACAGCCATAGTGGCAAGGGGAGCTTGTGCCGGTTTCGTAGTCGGCTTCATGACTTTCATGTCCATTGGAGGATTCCCATCCTTCATCGAGGAAATGAAGGTAAAAGAAAAATCACTTGAACATTAACAAGATATAATAATAGGTTTTGTTAGTCTCATATGTTTGTTTGAATTTTTATTTATTTATTTTTTTTGTTAAAAACAGGTATTTTCTCGAGAAAGGGTTAACGGGTATTATGGCGTAGGGGCCTTCATACTATCAAACTTCATATCCTCTTTCCCGTTCTTGGTTGCGATCGCGACAATTAGCAGCGCAATCACGTTTTTTATGGTGTTCCAGGCGGAGTTTTCCCATTTCGTGTTCTTCTCGCTCAATCTGTTTGGATGCATAGCTATGGTGGAGAGTGTGATGATGATTGTGGCTGCTTTGGTCCCTAATTTCTTGATGGGGATCATAACCGGAGCTGGAATTCTCGTAAGGATCGGATAGATTCATCGAAGATGTTGTTAATTATGTATGTATCTCTTGTTCGTTTACCATTCTCCTAAAAATCTGATACATTATATTTGTTTGTGTGCAGGGTATTATGATGCTGACATCGGGTTTCTTCAGGTTCTTGCCCGATCTTCCTAAGCCTGTTTGGAGATATCCTGTTTCATTCATCGGATATGGTTCGTGGGCACTACAGGTAATCTAAATGGAGTGTAAACAAAATGAAATAATGTGCAATAATGTTACTAACAACAAACAAAACACAAATGCAGGGGGAATACAAGAATGCACTGCTGGGGCTGATGTTCGACCCGATGATTCCCGGTGACCCTAAAGTAACAGGGGAATCGGTGGTGACGGATATATTTGGAATACCGTTATCTCATTCAAAGTGGTGGGATTTAGTGGGCCTGCATGTCCTTATTGTGATTTACAGAGTAATATTCATGCTCGTCCTCAAGTTGAAAGAGACTCGACTTACACTCACATCCCTCTTCCGTTGGCTTCATGCCAAGAGAACCGTTCGTTATATGAAAAGGCATCCTTCGTCCCAACGCTTGCCGTCTTTTTCTTCCAAGACCCACAATGCTCACCCGCTTTCGGCACAGGAGGGTCTTAACTCGCCCATCATCTAGGAACTAGTATACTATCACAAATTATTCCCATGGTTTTTGTATCCTCAACTTCTGTCATTACCAGATTATTATTATTATTATTATTATTATTATTATTATTATTATTATTATTATTATTATTATTATTATTATTATTATTATTA